CAGATTCTAATTTAAAAGACGTATACAAAAAATACAACCTTGGTCCCAGTGCCTGTTGAGCATTCTGTAGCTTTTAAATTTGTTCTGAAGACGGATTTCTACTGGCACGTAGGTAACATTCGCAAACTTTCATTTTCCGTTCATGAAGAACAGCTCCTGGCAAAAGCAAAACTAGGATTCGATAGAGCAAAGCCTCTTTTATATGTATGCATCGAAGTGTTGTAAAATATAACAGCATTTTCTGCCATAGCAAAAATTGTAAATTCTAAAAATTCTGGTTTTTCCGCTCAGCGGAAGTACTAGTTTGGTAAATTCCAATTTTACAAAAACATATGGTAGCAATTTCCAGCGAGGTAAAGTGTTTATTGTAGAGTATGACGGCAGCATCATGTGGCATAAAATTGAAATCAAAATCATCAGCATCTTTGTACTTGCAGTAGTGCAAAGTTAGGCTCCCAGACTTTTGACGCAGTGCACCTGTAAATAATTAAAATAATTTTTAAAATTTTTTAAAAATTCAATTTAGCCTTATAAAAAAATTTTCTGGGTGTCTTCCCTATTTCAACTTTGGCCGCGGCGTTCCCGGTAAAACATACATGGGCCGCGGCGTGCGCGGCTGAGATTTTAAGGGCCGCGGCGCGCCATGGAACGCGCTTTAAGGCCGCGAACTCTCCGATGCAATTGTCTGAGTAGACGTCTTTTTACAATGGTGAAAAAGCCTGTACTTGAACACTCCCATTATAAAAGTCTCACCCACCCTTCACCCGGCACTTTTTCTGATGGACCCCAGGCAAGGTATACACTTTCTGAAAGCGGAGGACAAGACGGTTCCAATGGTAGCCATCTCGGCGTATAAGATGTCGATCTACAGAAGTTATGAATTTTTCTATGTTAAAAGCTCGAAAATCTCTAAAAATCACTAGGACACCCTTCACCCAGGCACTTTTTTAAAAGTACTCCAGATAAAGTATATATTTTCTGAAAGCGGAGGACAAGACGGTTCCAGTGGTGCTTATCTCGCTGTAAAAGATATTTATCTACAAAACTTAAGAAATTTTTTAATGTTAAAAACTCGAAAATCTCCTGAAATCACTACTCACACCCGTCACCAAGCACTTTTTTCAGCAGACTCCTCCTTTCCTATACATAAACAATTCACGTACAAATATTTTCTTTGCTTAACCTTGCCTCACTGTTGATTTTTCTTCTCGGCTTTTGGTGAAAGGGGTCACCTTGGTTCCGGTCAGGGGTGAAGGGAGGGTGAGAAAATTCTCAGACTATCGCACCTGTGAATATAATGTTACGATAGGTTTATTCTGTGCGATAATTTTGAATTCTTCACAATGAAACGATTGCCTTGACAAATGTCAAGAAGTGATCATGTCTAGTACCTGAATCAATTGCGAATTCTTCCTAGAAGACAATAAATCAACGTTTTTCGCTGATATAATAAGATTATCATTTGTTGCTCTTTGGATTTCTCCCCAATTAAGAATTCCACTGGTCTCTTTGCAACATAGCGACCATGGCAGGATGCGCATCATTCTTATCGTCCTCTCTTGCGTAATAATCGCAGTGATGTTCTGGACCATTATCCCACTAGTGATCCTTGAAAAGCGAATAGCTAGTCTACCTTCACGAATCATCAAGCTTGCTTGGTGCACTGTGTTAGAAATCATAGTTTTCCCCAGCATACCGAAAACCAAAACGCGAAAAAAGACGATAAAAATCATCTAAACATCTTCTCACTCTACCGAATATTGTAATACTTGCATCGCACTTCAATGTCCTGAAAACATGCTCTGATGTTGTTACAATGACCTCCGCAATCAAGTCATGCTCCAAGAATGGTAAAAACAAGACCTGTTCTTTCGATTAAGGAAGTACACTAGCCCTTCGTTTGTTTATCAATAAGAAACTACCAAAGCGAGTCCATGGGACTGCTTGCGTTTCGTATCAATGGAATACATCATCTCTGCAACAAAAAGATCGAATATTTTACGCGCGACCATAAATTCTAGACCGAATCCTCACATAGATGTTACTGGGCTAGAAGCTGCAAGAAGGGAGTATGCGACAACACGAAGATATTAGACAAAATCGAAGAATTCAGTCACAAAGCCAACCACCATCAAGGATTCACCTTTTGCACACGAAGCTGTCAATGCTGCGACGGTTGTTTTCTGACATCTTCCTGTCTCTTCTATAGATACTTTACAGTACCCACATCCGAAACCATCTACCAATATTCATGTCCCATCTGGGAGCTTACTTTTTCAGTCGAAATGACACTGCCGAGCCAAGAAGACATACGAACACGTCGCGTCATACTACATCCTGAGAAGACAGTAGCCATCGATGACATCAAACTTTCAAGAAGCCATAGATGACATCAAGCTTTCACTCATAGACGCTACAACACCACAGCCGCCCATATTATTTTCCAACATTTCTTAGCGAAATTTACCTTTTTAACGTACTTATTTGTCGCTTGCATTATAATTCCTCTCTTTTTCTTTGTAGCCACCGCTCTATTTAAAAAGTCATCCTATACAAGAAGTATCGATAGTTTGCCGGGGAGTTTATTTGTGCGATAATTTCGAATTCTTCATAGCAATGAAATGATTGCCTTGACAAATGTCAAAAAATGATTCATATTATTTTGAGGTGCATTTTGTTATGCCTAGTGCCTGAGCCAATTGCGAGTCCCTCCTGAAACAATGAATCAACGCTTTCGCTGATATAAAAGGATTGTCATTTGTTGCTCGATTTCCCCCAATAAAGAATTCCACTCGTCTCTTCGCAACGATAGGTATATCGTGAATAAAGATAAGGCACAAACTTGAGCTCCAATTCTTCTTAGAATGATGCTGTTTCTGTACATCCAAGTGCACATTCACAGGCGATACGAGGCGGGCAAGCTGATGCTAGCCCATCAAAAATTATCGATTTTATCGATTTCTGCGTTTCATCCCAAGAAGCTCGAATTCCACATACATATATAGGTTTTTTAGCATACTGATTACGAAAATGATAGTCTAAGGTGCTCTTTCGCCTTCTTACATTAATTTCTTGATTTTTACGTAAATTTCACTGTACCGCTACCATGGCCCCTCTGTGAGAAAGTAGTGAACAAATTGGACACTATAATCGTGATCAGCACGTGAAATAATCCCAAAACACACTTTTCCATTAAAATCCGTAATGTTGGATTAGTACAGAATGACCACCATGACCTTACCGTATAATTCCAAAAACTAAAGTGAATATGAATGAAATGAATTTGCACTACTGATTCGGAGAAGGCGGTCGCACTTCACCATCGGTGCGATAGCGGTAGAGCCACGGCCTCTGAAGACAAGGATTGCTCGAAACGTTAAGCCGCTCTACTAATAAAGCTTCGCCGAAACCTCGTGTTGGCACACTAACAAATAGAACTAGAGTGAATCATATTTTGATAAGCAGCGCCTTGGATAACCCCTCCGGGGAAATTCTTGGAGATATGTTTTCATTTTTCCCAAAAATACCACCTCTTGGACAATACGACCCATGGGTGGGTCGTAAGTTTTACAGGGCGAAAAAGGCTCTGGTCCAAACGGCAGTATTGGAAAAATTGGCCTTGTCGTAAATGTGTTAATTTTTATCTTGACGCGTGGCAAGGAGACAGTCCCCACAACAACTACAAGAAATTTCTAAGCTGAAGCACGTATTTCATGAATTTTGAAAAATGCATTAGAATAACGGTAAAGTTCAATTTTTGAAAATCATTTCTATTTACAAGTTCAAGCGTCACTTGCGCTGCAAGTAATTTTCAAAAGCTTTGCGACAACCTTGGCGCACATTGTCTAAACAAGCTTGAACTGTTTTTTCCAAGGATGTATTCAAGGCGCCAGCTGTCTGCTATTTTGAACGCGTCGATCCCTGTCCTGTTCTTGGCTGCAGGCGCGGTAAGCCCCCCGGACTTGAATTTCTCTACTCAGCCTGTGCTTATTCTTTCTCCCATGGTTGTGAAAGTTTATCCTCTGCAGCATTTTCAAGTTTTGTTTATTTTTTACACACAAGACGAAAATCACCAGGAGTAACTAATTATTGAGAGATTAGAGGCAGTGTCCGGGCAAAAAAACGAACTTATGGTTTGTGCTTACCCGGGTCTATTCGCTACGCTGAATCCGAAAATCCACACAGAAGAGCGCGAAGATGGCGAAAAAGAGCTCTAGCGCAGGAGGGAAATCAGAAGTGGGCGGGGTCCTCCTCACTGTGAATTTTGCGGTCCCAGCTTCTGGAGCGATCTTCTCAATTCCGCTAGCGCCCTGAGATCTCTACAGGCTAGGTGCGAATGCATGACTTGAAATTGGAACCGAGAAGATTGCTCCGGAAGCTTGGAGCGTGAATCCACAGTGGGGAAGACCCCGCCCACTTATGATTACCTTCCTGCGTTAGAGTCCTTTTTCGCCGTTTTCGCGCTCTTCAGTGTGGATTTCGGATTCAGCGTAGCGAATAGGCCCGGATAAACACAAAATCTCATAATCGAGTTTTTGCCCGGACACTGCCTTTAACGTGGATGCTTTCGATCGAATCATGACGAAATGGACTTTTTCGACTTTTTGAACGGACTTACTTCGCATTTTTCTTTCCTTGAACCCATAGATAGCCGCACATGCAGTGATTGCTAGATAGTGTATCCGAACCTGAGCGCATGCAACAGCTGTACCACTGCGCAGATCCAGTATACTGCTTGTAAGCTGATTTCCGACGCCATGTCCATTTTTCTGCTTCTGTAGGTAACGATCATGGGTTAAGCGAAAACCTTTTTATTCAAGCGGCAACGGTATGAAGGCAGCAGTTTATACAAACACATAGGTAAGAGTTTTCATAAGATTCATGGGTGCCGTCTAAATCATATCGCTGTAATACGAATAATCTCCTGTGCAGGCGCGAGGGCAAGAAGATGGATCCCTTCAACTCTTTCCCATCACCTTATCACTTCTTAGTCAAGAAAGTTAAGACCACACCTTCTTGATGAGGTATCGAATCCACGAGTCAGCTTCCCGTTCCAGTCGAGCTTCTCTCGATCTGTCGCTTGCATTTCTGCTCTCACGTGAATTCGCAATTTCAGCAGCGGTTTCTTCATCGATTCGTAAGGGTGGTGTAACGCAGCCACCATCGTCAGACGTGTTACTTGAATGAACACTTAGGTCTCTTCTTCTTTTGTTTCGACTACAGAAATCAGCAGATCCAGTTGATGCCCAACTTCTGGCTCGTTCGCGACTACCTGACTCGCTAAGGTGCTTTCATTATAGTTAAATAGTTACTAGGTTACCATCTTTTCTTCGTTTTGCGGATAAACCATCTCCATTCGAGGTAGCTGGCATAAGTTGCGACTTTGGAGATGCAAAATGACGTCCCGAGGCTCGATCGGTCAAATCTGTGCAGGATCGGACTGCTGCGGTGTGTGACTTCTTCCGCAAATAACCATTACGCTGAAAAAAAAGTTTTGTAACCGCTTAGTTTAGTTTTCCTTTTGAAGTTGAGAATTGCTTGGGCATTACCCATTTTGTCTTGTTATATGAGCAGAAGGATCAGTTTCATTTTAGAAGGAAGATATGCAAAAGTCCTTCACTTGTAATCTGACCGGATATACAGTAATTTGAGATGATGATCTTGCACCAATCAATCTTGTTTTGTTCACACTCTGAAAACAGACTTCAAACCACATTTTTATCATTTTCCTATTAACATGTAAAATAGCATGCCCTTGAGTATCTAAATAGGTAATAACTATGGCGGCCTCCTATGTTGATGGTCGGCGTTGTGCCAGCGCCGTTTCGGGGTGTGCTAGCGCCTTTTTGGAATCAAGTCGACGAGATGCGCTGATCGATAAACTTTTCGTGATAGCGGTAGCACGGCGCTGGCACGAAAAACTTTGCACACAGCTAAAAAGCAATAAACGCCTTACCCCTTTTGTCCGTCCTCTCTTTTTGGAAGGTGCTCCTGACTCTACAAGAATCCCTGGTCGTTTCCCTTTGGACAAAGATGGCACAAACTCCGCCATGGTCATTTTGACTGCTTCTCTGGAATAGAGCAATTCATTGACTCTAATAAATTACACAAGCTTCGCAATAACTTTTCTCGTACTTTTGACAAAAAAATCTTATGAAAAGCTATAAAACACAAATGTATAATTTTGGAGATATTTAAAAGGAATTAAAATGTATTCGAGGTATATATTCATTTATTCATTTATCAAATACATCGTAAACGATGCAACACCTCAAAAATGAAATACAAACAAACTATTAAATATGGAACGGGGTGGGAGAAAAAGGCAAGAATGACTTCAAATTTGCTCTCACTTTCGAGTCATATCCAATTGACAAATTTGTAGAGTTCTTATGTAATTTCGGGAAAATATATCCTTCTATCAGTGGCGTACCCAGGATTTCGGCTCGGGGGGGGGCGCGACAAAAAAATTTTTCTAAAGAAGGTGCGTGGCGTCAGCCACGCACTCCGAAAAAATTTTGGAGGTGCTTCTCAAAACTTTTGCGGGTCTCCGACCTCTAAAATCTGGAAAAAGGGGGCGTGGCGTCAGCCACGCCCCCGAAAAAAATTTTTTTACAAAGCTAATTTGAATTTTTAAAAATTTTTAAAAATTATTTTAATTATTTACAAAAATAAACAAGTCACTTGCACATTTTTATAACCCATATGAGTAACTTTCAAAAATTTCGCGACCCATTCTCGGGGGGGGGGCGCGCGCCCCCCCCGCCCCCCCCCCTCGGTACGCCACTGCCTTCTATATATACATAAAATCGAATGGTGTACTTGTCTGTACGTCCTCCATGGTGTTTTCTGGACGATGGTGTTTGTGTCTGTCGTTTTCCAGTATGGAAACTTATTACTACTTCTACCAAATTTATCGATTACTTGCAAATTTGAACTACGAGGCTGGGAGTTGGCACAGGGGGGGGGGGGTTGGCACAGGGGGGGGGGTAAGCGAACACGCTGACATTTTGTCGATTTTTTTTGCAAAGTTCAAGTTACGGGGCTGGGAGTTGGCACAGGGGGGGGGGGTAATCAAGCATGCTGATTACGAATATGATAACTATTTTCAAACATGCCCATCACTTTTATCATTTTATCGATTTTCGATTTTCTTGCAAATTTTGAACTACAGGGCTGGTATTTGGCAAAGAAGGGGGGGGGGGGAGGGGTAAGCGAACATGCTAATTACGAATACTATATTAGTTTTTGAAATCCTCCATTACCCTTATTGATTTTATCGATTTTTTTGCAAATTTTGAACTACGGGGCTGAGAGTTGGCAAAGGGGGGGGGGGGTAAGCGAACATGCTGATTACGAATACAATATTAGTTTATAGAATTATCAATTACTTGTAACATTTTATCGATTTTTATATCCATTACTTCTATTGGTTTAATTGACTTTCTGCAATGTTTAAGCCACGGCACTGGGGGTTGCTACAGGCAGGTGATTGAGCATGCTGCTCACGCACACATTCTTATTCTACAAGTTATCAATTACCTTCACTGGCTTTATCGATTTTTTGCAAAGTTTAAGCCACGGAACTGGGATTTGGCACATGGGAAAAAGCGAGCATGCCTATTACGATCGTAATAAGTGTTTTTGAAAGTACCTATTATTTCTTTCAATTTTTCTATTCTTTGTAAAATTAAATTAGAGCTACACGGCTGGCATTTGGCACAAAGTTGTATGTGAGCAAGCTTAGTGCAAAGATAGTGGCTTTGTTTTTGAGAAAATTCATTACTTTTATTGTCATCTTTTTTAAAGGAAGCTATGAGGCTGAGATAGCACTGGTCCGGGGGTAAGTGAGCATGCTGAGAATTACATAATCACACTCAGAATTGACGAAGACGTTGAATTTACCTAGAGTTGTTATAGATTCACTTTAGCCTGCCTTTACTTTTTAAGATCCTAGTTCTGCCCCCAAAATCAGAAAAGCAGCAGGAAGTGCCTGGTTTCGAGGGAAGGATAGGCTTATAAACTGAGGCGGCAAAATATTTCCGCTAAGAATTTCTACGAGTCAATATCTAATTATACAGAAATTTCCTTGAATTTTACCTCTGTCCCTTCCACTCTGCAAGAACCATACTTCTGCCTCTGAAAGCAGAAAAGTGGTCTCTGGGGATGGACAGACCCATGAGCTTCATCCGATAGGACATTTTCACTAAAACTTTTGGCCTCCAAACTTCGCAAAAACCACAAACTCAAAAACCACACTCCTGGTCCTAGAAGCAAAAAAGACAGGGAGCTTGGTCTCGAGGGAGGAAAGAATTATGACCTCAGGCAGCAAGATATTTTCGCCAGAAGTTTCTGGGTGTCAATAATTATACAGAACTTGCTTTTTACTTCTGGCCTTTCTACTTTGCACAAAACCATACTTCTTCCTCGTAAAAAAGCACAAAGCGCTCTCGAGGAAAGGACAGACCCATGAGCTTTATCCGACAGGACATTTTCGCTAAGATGCTTGACCTCTAGATTCGCAAAAACCAGTACTTCTGCCCCTGATATAAGGAAGGACAGACCCATGAGCTTCTTGCGACGGGGCATTTTTACAGGAACTTTCGGCCCCTTCTACTTCGCAAAAACCAGTGCTTCTGAAAGCAGAAAAGCACAGAGTGCTTGGTCTCGGGGGAAGAAAGAATCATGGCTTTAGGCAGCAGAATATTTTCGCCAGAAGTTTCTGGGTGTCAATGGTTATACGACAACTTGCTTAAAATTTACTTCTGGCCATTCTACTTTGCAAAAACCACACTTCTTCCTCTAAAAGCGAAACAGCACAGATAGGTTGGTTTCGAGGAAAAGACAGAATCATGAGCTTCATGCGACACGTTTTCGCTAAGGCGTTTGATCCCCTAGACTTCGCAAAAACCAGTACTTCTGGCCTTAAAAGCAGAAAAACACAGGGAATTTAGTCTCTAGGGAAGGACAGCCCATGAGTTTCATCCGACAGGACATTTTCGCTAAACGTTTGACTCTTCGCAAAAACCACAAAACTCAAAAACCACACTTCTGGCCCTAAAAGCGAAAAAGCACAAGGAGCTTGGTCTCGAGGGAAGAAAGAATTATGTCCTCAGGCAGCAAGATATTTTTGCCAGAAGTTCCTGGGTGTCGATGTTATATTATACAAGAAACTTGTTTGAAATTCGTGGCCATTCTACTCTGTAAAAACCGGACTTCTACCCCTAAAAGCAAAACAGCATAAATAGCTTGGTCTCGAGGGGAAGAGACTTATAAGCTCAGCCAGCAAGATACTTTCGCTGAAAATTTCTGGGTGTCAATGTTTATTCTACAGAAACTTGTTTGAAATTCACTTGTGGCCATTCTACTCTGCAAAAACCGGACTTCTGCCTCTGAAGGCAGAAAAGTGGTCTCGAGGGAAAGACAGACCCATGAGCTTCTTGCGACGGGAATTTATCTTCTTTGAAAATTTTGGCCTTTTGAACTTCGCTGAAACCACACTTTTGTCCCTAGAAGCAAAAAAAAACAGGGAGCTTGGTCTCGAGGGAAGAAAAGACTCAGGGCTCAGGCAGCAAGATATTTGCGGTAGAATTTTTAGGTGTCAATATTTAATTTAAAGAAACAAGTGTCGAATATTGTTGTGCCGAACAGGCTGTTAGGTGGTCCTTTTATTGTCAATACTCTTCGGCCTTACGTTTCGACGCTTTCGTCTTCATCAGAGGCCTGTAATGGTTCAAACCTTCATCCGTAACTCCAGCCCACCAAACGTCTCCACCAGCTCTCACCAGTTCTCGGCTCTTCCCCCAGTCTAGTGCTACAAAAATTGTGATGACAAAAGACATACCAGGGAACCACCGCTTCGTTAGATGTCTGTACCGAATGTACATGTTCGCGACGGACGACTGAGCTATACTGAGGGATGTCACATAAACGGTTATAGCTCACATAATGATAAAAATGGAAGTAAATCAGCGGTAATGGATAACTGTGATGACCGTGCGAAGATGGGAGCGATATCAGCTGAAGGCATGAAATGTAATGCACGCTATATTGGGGAAACAAAAAGAACACTCAACATTTTTCGCATCAAAGAACATTTGTCAGATAAAAGGCGCAAGAACTTGGCTTCGCCGTTTGGCAGACATAGGCACGAATCGCATGGTGGAGATGACTTTGATATCAAAGTTACAATTCTAACACTTGAAAAAGAGATCTCGGCTTGGAAAGCCTTGGAATCGTTCTGGATGCAAAGAATCCAGAAATGAACAACAAAAACGAGTGTTTATCCATAACGCTGATTTCCTTCCATTTTTATCATTATGTGAGCTATAACTGTTTATGTGACATCCCTCAGTATAGCTCAGTCGTCCGTCGCGAACATATACATCCAGTACGGACATCTAACAAAGCGGTGGTCCCCTGTTATGTCTTTTGTAATCACAACTTTTGTAGCACTAGACTGGGGGAAGAGCCGAGAACTGGTGAGGGCTGGTGGAGACGTTTGATGGGCTGGAGTTACGAATGAAGCTTTGAACCATTCCAGTGGCCGTATTCATCAACGAACCCCGAGGGTTAAACTAACCCTAAAGGGTTAGTTTAACCCTGGAAAGCGTTTAACCCGTATTCATGAAATACAGGGTAGGCTTAACCCTGAGGGTTAAATCTAACCTTGAGGGTTAATTTTACCCCGAAAGCGACTAACCCGTATTCATCAACGAACCGTGAGGGTTAAACTAACCCTGGAGGGTTAAACTTATGTGATTCATCAGGGTTAATTTAACCCTAGCTCAGAGCAAGGTTAACTCTACCCTAACACTTTATACAAACATTTACTCGCATCTAATAGTTTATGGAAAACGATCAACGAGTACGTATTTAGTATTGGTTGTTGTTATAGTATTTAGCTTCGACTTCGTTTTATGTTCATATTCGAAGTACATGAAACACTGACTTCGCGAGAAAAAGAATTCTAGCTTTGGTGACAAATGAATGCGGCGAGGAAAAATGGCATTCCACTCTGACAACTGCCAAAACAGAAGAACGCTTTTATAATAACACGCATTGACCCCTAAAAGAGTAGCACAAGCCCGGTATAAAACGAACTGCACAGAAGTAGCACTTACACTGCATAATTGCACACATGAAAATAAACTCACGCTATAAGATTGGATGCTGCAAAAGTATGCTAGAGATGTATTATAAAAACTAGTGTCAGAAGCTTATTCGTTGACTATACTTCTATAACAGTGAAAGAATAGAAGTAGAAAGTGAATTTAGCTCGCACTTAGGCATTCTGTGATGTGAGTTTCACAGCGCATGCGTTACTGACTCCTTAACTCTCCAGGGTTAGTTTAACCCTCAGGGTTGATGAATACGGCCACAGGTTCGTTGATCGATACGGGTAGATCGCGTTCCGTGGTAAACCCTAGCCTATGGTTGATGAATACGGCCAATGAACCCTGAGGGTTAAACTAACCCTGGAGGGTAAGCTTAACCCTCAAGGTTCGTTGATGAATACGGCCACAGGCCTCTGATGAAGACGAAAGCGTCGAAATGTAAGGCCGAAGAGTATTGACAATAAAAAAACCACCTAACATCCTGTTCGGCACAACAATATTCGACACTTACGAACATGCCCAGGTTTGATGATTACGGAACATGGAAAGTACAAAGAAATTTGCTGGAAAAATTACGGCCCCTTCTTATCAGTCATACTTCTGCTCGGTAAAATTGCCTTTCAAAACAAAACGTTGAGCCGGCTTTAGTCTGTTTTAAGAAATGAGTCCGTTCACTGGTAAGACATTATTGAAGAAAATACTGCTTCTTTTCTATCTACATATCTGAGTTTTCGGTTACTGGAAAGACATAACTTGACGCTTCCTTTAACTTGGCACTTTCCTGGAAATCAATCTGAGTTTTGGGATGAATCAACTGTTCTAAACAGGAGCTTGGAGGTAGCTTCCTTGTTTAAGAGCTGTGATATCTGGGCGAAGGTGTCTGCAAGAGGAACAGCAGAGATGCTTTGCGGATAGTCACTGGTAGTAGTCTTATATATAAAGCTGAATGCATGTATGTATGTATGTATGTATGTCTGTATGTACGTATGTGCGGAATAGAAATTCTTATTTCTGAACCGATTTGGACCAAACTTGGCACACATATACTTCGGGGCGGGGAGCGTGTCATGGGCTACTTTTCGTTATCGATCGATATCTTATCGATTTTTACCGATTTTTTCGCAGACTTCACCCACGGGCTGGGGGTTGGCACAGGGAGGTAAGTGTGCATAGCGATTCCGAATACAATATTAGGCCCGTATGTACGTACATCCCCGCGGGGATGTACGTACATACGGGCCTAATATTGTATGAATTTTTACCATTGAAATGATCCCAGCTGGGGATCCCCCCTCCCCGGGCGAACCCCCATATGCACGCAAACAATATCGGCGAAGGGATCCCCTGCGGGGAGGGAAAGCCGACCCCCCTATGCACAAGAGGGGATCAAACGGGGAAATAGCTCTGCTTCCGAATTTCTACGAAAAACTTTCCCCCATTCGTATCTTTCGACTGCTACCCACGTTCATCTACTCAGCGGCAGGAATTTAGGCGTTGCAGTGCGCATGCTGCCGTGATTGCGCTTGTCACACCCAAAATAATATTTTCTACGCCTAATATGGCTTATTGCTGCTATCATCATGGATGCTGTTCATATTCGCACCTGCTGTTCACTTTAGCGTGGAGGTGAGTTATTTTACCCTCTTATGTCCTGTTTTTTGTTTCATTAGCTTGTATATATCGGGCCATTGAAATTTTCTTTGTTTTCTTTCTTCTTTTTTGTTCACAGTGCAGGTGCTTTTTTTGAGCGAAATGAGGTTTTACGATTATTGATTTTTCTGATTGTTTCCCGCCTTGCTTCTGTGTAGTGTCACATTCTCATGGAAATGTGTCCTACACAGTTTGTGGAGGATCTTTCGTTCTGAGTGAATCTTTCACGTATTTTCGCGATATTTGTGAATATTTTGCGTATAGGGTTACTTTTTACTCGCTGAAATGGGCTAGAGATCGAACTGCATTCAGCTTTGTTGTTGTCTATGGTTTTCATTTATTCTTGAACTTACCTTATTATCTGGACGCGATGTGGAACAGTTTAGTAAGTTATAGTTCTTCTTTCTAGGTTTCTGTTGTGTTTGTTCAATGTTTTTACAATGTTTTCTTTTGTCCTTTTCATCAAATAGCCCTCCTTCCTTGCTGATGAGTTCCGGGGAGGGCTTCATATCTCATTTTTTTCCCGCCCAAAAGTGGGAACGAAACGGGAGTGTTTTCTTCGTTTTTTTTTTGTTTATCTGCGAACATGTCTTTCGATCTATGTTGTTTTTATATGTTACTTTTACTATTTCTGATTGTTTCTTCGTGATTTTCCTATCGTGCCTCAAGCCTTGACCTTACACATATATTTCGTAATAAAGGTCAGACTTTCGTGACCTTATATCATTTCTCTTGCGTATTAGAAGATTGTCTTCCACTCTTTTCATCTGTTCTTGTTACTCTACCGTTTAGAAATCAAATCTCGTACGTATTTTTGAATAAAAACCTGCTGCTTTTGCAACCTGCTGCTGAGCGCTTCTTGCCCGTTGTGAGGCAAGGAAATAGTTCGAAAACTTACAACAAATCAGAGCTGTAGACAGATGAATGCAATTTATCTAACTTGCTTCCTGCAGAAAGGCATTTGCCCTTCGAGCTCCTAGCTGAATTCTGCAAAAGGATCTTGCGTGTGGTAGGTATAAAGCCTCTCCAAATTTGACTGAGAAATCAATTGACTAGTTCGGGCGCATCGCCGCAAGGCTAAATATCTATCCTCAAGTCAACGCCGAAAAGGTGTCCATGCGCTTCGCTCATTTAGTTCAAATAATACGCTCTCAAACTGAAATCATGGGCGCTACTTTTAGATGTTGAACTTGAACGAATTTTTGCTCGAAGACAGCCCTAGCGAAGAGGATGAGCCGGAACGGCTCCGTTCATATAGAGATTGCGCTTGCCCTTTCGAAACGCTATCGGACGTCGAGTTTCGAAAGGATTTTCGTTTTGCTCGTCCGGTGTTCTACGAACTTTGCGAGATGCTTAGGGCCGCATGCACTAACATCCCTGCGGCGAGGGGAGCGGCGTCCCCAATGATGAAAAAGCCGCAGCGGCGTCCGCACGCGGTCCCTTCATAACGGGGGACGCCGCTCCCCTCGCCGCAAAAATGTTAGTGCATACGGGCCTTAGAGAAGATCTGCCGCATACAACGGTTAGGGAAATGTCTCTGACGGTTGCCCAACAAGTAGCTGCGCGTGTTCACCTTTTGGGAAAAAATGCCATGCAGGCCGATTCGGCGCGTCTTGCTGGGTGTAACCAAAGCACAGTTTCGAGGACCCTACGTGTGTTTCTGGATGCTGTTGTGAAGTTGGCGCCAAGATACATCAATTGGCCTTCAGCTGCAGAACAAGAAGAAATTCCGCAGAGAATTTATCGGAAGTATAAACTCCCCAACATTGTTGGGCTGATTGATGGCACGCACGTTAGAATTGGGCACCCAGAGAGAATGCGGTGGATTACATAAATAGGAAGAGGTACCACTTGATAAATGTGGGAGCCATATGCGACGATAAGTTTTTATTCCAGTGGGTGAGCGCTTCATGGCCCGATTCCGCCCAAGACAGCAGGGTCTTCAAATCTTCGGAACTCTACAAAGACCTAAGAGTAAGGGGAAAAAGGGGATGCATCATGGGGTGATTCAGCTTACACCGCAGAATCATTTTTAATCAAAGTTCTGAGCCAGGCCAACACAGTAAAAGGTAGTTTTTTACTTTTTAAACGAAATTTCACTGTTGTTGTTCTTTTTTTTTTCAGAACAACGGTACAATCGTGCAATCTGCTCAGCGCGAGTAAAAATTGAGCAGGCTTTGGGATGCTAAAGCGTCATTGGCACATACTACATTCAGAAAGCAGGTAAAACAACTACATCACACATCCTTATTTTGCAAACTTCGAAGGAAAACACAAAAAAACCATTGACCAAATCAGTTCTTCATTCACTGGCATAGAAATTCAAATAGTATGAGACAAGATAAGTAACGAGGTGATTGTATAATCGAAATCATCGTTGCAGATACGACCCGGATACCGCAGCCAGAATTACAATAGCGTGCGTGGTGCTGCGTAATCTTGCAAATCAAAGGCATGAGCCGCTCTTCGAGGACGACGACGACCTGGAAGTGGTTGAAAGTGACATGGGGGAAGAAAATCAAGAAGTCCACACTACTTCCGGCCACGCTCTCATAAGGAGGATAATCGAAGAATTTTTTTAACCTACCTACTCATCGTTTCTTGCCAGGTCAATTTGTAATCGCGTGTAGTCAATTTTTGCCTTCACCTCTTCACATTGCAGGCAGAACAGAACATTTTTTTGCCTCTTGTTTTCCATTGATTGCTGTAGTACTTCACTGCGTAGAATTCGTTTTGAATTTGTTTTTGAATTCGCCCTGCCTCGAGTTGCAAAATTTGTTCTTTTTCTTCTCTGCAAATAATTCGTTTTGAAAAATTGTTTAGATGTGTGTTATGAAAGTTGATACTCACGTCAAGGCCTGTGTGGAGCGTCTTCTTTTGCGTGGAGGGCTGTTCAGCGGCTTTTCACCCCATCCCGAGGTAAGCGGTGTAACAGGGGTGTTTTCGTCCGCGGAAAGAAATAGGTCCACCTCAAAAATATCAGTAGGAACATGTTCTCACCCAACATCAAAATACCTCTTCGGCGATTGGGGTCAAACACTCCTCATAAATGACATCCACATCCATGGTGTTCGTGTTTGAAAAATTCTCTTAGTTTGGAACATTCTCTATGTTTGAAATATTCTGCGTGTTTGAAACATTTTGTGTGTTTGAAGTACTCTGTATGCTTGGGACATTTTGTAAGGGAAAATTATAGGATAGACGTTGCGTTACGTTAGTCTACAACTCACTGTAGCGTTTGCATTAATTTCCAAAGGTTTCTCTAGACCCGAAAGGCGCGGTCTGTTGTCGCAGCCTTCAATCACTATTTTCACATGAGGAGGAGCTGCAGTGGCGGTCGGAGGACCACCGCCTGTCTTTGTCTCTTCATGTTGCTGCAAAAAACGTTGATACGTGCTGTTTCTCAGGAAAGGTGACGAACCTCTAACGCGCTTATCTTTTTCGCCATCTTTAGTGTGTCTTTAATCTTTTGATCAATCTGCTCAGGAGTCCGCTTTGAAAAGCCGTTACGGACTAGGTCTTCACAGATATCTTCGAGCAACTTCTGTTTACGCTAAAGTGGAATATTATGATCAACAATAGAAGTCAAGGTGTCCCTAAGGGGAATGGGTAGAAGGCGCTGTGTTGCCGAATAAAAAGGGGGAGGGGGTGCGCAGATGCTTAGGCCAGCATTTCTACACCTAACAGAAGCTGCAAATCGTGTCAGCTCTCCGTAAATGACTGTAGCTGTTTCCGAAATACCGTCCATCACCCCGGGGGAATGATCCCCCGCGGCCATCCCCCTATGCACGAGGGGAACGCTGGGGAGGGGATCACTCCCCTGGGGATCTCTATACAGAAACTATCAAATCTGCTAATTTTAAGGGCCGCATGCACTAACATCCCCGCGGGGAGGGGATCGCAGCTTAAAAGAAAGCTTTATATTTCGAAACTCCAGGTACCTGGATTTCACGTTGTGCACCTATCCGTAAGTATTCCTATTACCCTTCACGATGAACATGTTGAACAGGAGCGAGAAGCTGTACAAACCGCATTTTCCAGCTTTTGTATGATCCCTGATTATCCCTGGCGCTTTTCTTCAATGTCATTTTTCTTTCTCCGAAGTTAACGAAGAATCTCCAGAGTTGTGCAGATTGTCTAACCCGACAGTGCTAAGCATGTTGCTGCTAAGAACAAATGATGTTTTGAAGTCATGAAATTTGCGATGATCCACAGGTCGAAATTTGAGGCTTACCGAAAAATTCGACTTTTCAAAAAGTCATTTGTTCTTATCAGCGACATGCTTAGCAGTACTGTGTTAGATGTCCAGTACAACTTTGGAGGTTTTTCGTTAACTTCGGAGAAAGAAAAATGACTTTAAAGGAAAGCGCCGGGGATCATCAGGGATCATACAAAAGCTGGAAAATGCGGTTTGTACAGCTTCCCGCTCCTTTTCAACATGTTCATAGTGAAGGGTACTAGGAATACTTACGGATAGGTAGACAGCATGAAATCCAGATATCCGGAGCTTCAGGATATGAAGCTTTCTTCTGAAGCTGCGATCCCCTCCCCGCGGGGATATTAGTGCATGCGGCCCTAAGTTTTTTTCAAAGGAGCTTATGTCCCATAGGGATAAAACTATCAAGTCGTACAAAAAATGCGCAAATCTCATGAATGTTCAGGAACACCTATAGATAGACGAAATGAGCACATATACGCAAGGATTTCTTTGCGAGAAGCGAATTTACAAAGAGACAGAACTGCAAGCTACAGGTCGCTGAGAAAGGAACCCGGTTTTTGGCGGATATCTTTCAGCAATTTGAACGAAATGTTTGTAGTAACTGATTGAAACTAGAATATTAACTTCTCTGCTATCACCTGAACCACCGAACCCTTACTCCGTTGCAGGGGATATCGATCCCCTCCCCCGCGTTATTGAGTCACATCCCTGCATACGGGGTTCAAGAGGAGGGAGGGGAAGGAATCCCCTGGGGTTCGTTCGATCGATATGGAGATAAATGCATAATCTTACTTGCGTGAATGATAGCCCGTCTTTCGAGGATGATGTAGAGATTCCATGATATACTTCATAATTTTTAACGTACCGTTGCGAAACAATACACATTTCCACGGACGTCATGGCGGTTATTCGTACCTGAATGGAGATCTATCGGGAACACATAAAAAATCGCAAATACCGCTTACCTTCTTTTCATCCATTGTGTCGGAACAGTGCAACAAAGGCAGGCAAATTTCAGCAACCAAAACTCTGAAACCAGACACTGAATTTGAGTCTTCGAAAGAGTAATGCTAATAATGAGCGGCAAGTTGAAAAAATCACGGGATCTACAAAATGCTGCACTTTCAAGAGTTCTTTTATGGGAGAAATACCTCGTCATAACATATTTGAGAGACGACCATAACACGAACTACTAAATAGAGTCATACTATTTCAACAATTAACATTATCACTGACAGCAAGAGTATAACGAAGGCGCAAAATTAGTAATAGGGAAAAGGAAGAAGAGGGCGAAGGAGAGAGAGATACAATGGGAGGGGGATAGAAGAAGAGTGAGAAAAGGAAGTAAGACACCAAAAATCACTATTCATGTATATTACATTCCAAAAACCATTCTGGCACACAAGAATTAATTGAAAACAGCTTATTTGGCGAGATTTTCTGGTAGCCGTGAGGAGATGCGATTACTGCAATCACACCATCCCCGCTGTAAGTGCAGGAGAGGGGATCGCCCCCCCCCCTCTCTTGCATAGCGCGGTTCGGCGGAGGGGATCCTTCCCCTGGGGATCCAGCTCCCCTCCCCTCCCCAGCGGGAATGTACGCGCATACGGGCCTCAGTTTTCAGAATTATCGATTACTTTTATCGATTTTATCGATTTTTTGCAAAGTTTGAGCTACGGGGCTGGGAGTTGACACAGGGGGGTAAGTGGGCATGGCGATTCCGAATACAATATTAGTTTTCAGAATTACCGGTTACTTTTATCGATTTTATCGATTTTTTTACAAAATTTAGCTACAGGGCTGGGAGTTGGCACAGGGGGGTAATCGAGCATGCTGACTTTAAAAACAACACGGGGAACGGGAAATGAAGTGTAGAAGTGGGTACAGGGAAAGGCTGTACAGGGATAGGGATGGGACCTTTATTACAGTGTTTTGACAGGGCCGAGCGAAGCCGGGTAAGCAAGCTAGTAAGTATGTATAGGCAACCTCTAGACGTAGCGTGCAGGCAAAACCAAACAAGTCATTTCTCAAAAAACTGACTTGTGTCTGAGTTAACTCTGATTTTCGCCCAGACCGTAACGTAAGCTGACTTTCCGCTCGTAACAAGTACGATTTGGGCAAAAGTTTATGTTAAAACCGTATTTTTGGCCAAAAATGAGTTATCAAGCTGCCGCTGACAATCGCTAAACTAGGGAGTTCCAACCACATGATATGTGCAAGTACCGGGAAGCCTCGTTACTGCCTTTCGAGAACATTAATCAGATGCAATAATCTTTAAAAAAAAGTGTAACAATCCTTCTTCATCCTGCATTAAATCTTGCAACTATCACCAACTAGATATGTTTAAGTAATTATGAAAGGAGTCAAAATCAGTATAGATAGCAAGTAGAGAACTAAGGGTTTCAAAGTACTGATATTTTGCTGACCAATTTTATATGGCATTCACTCGTCAAAAAGTCAATAAAAGTAAATGCTCGCACAAAGAAGAATAGACGAGAACCCTGGCACTTGCAATACCAGACACTGCACATTTTGGTTAGGCTATTTTTCAGTTTTATATTCTATGGAGTTGCAATTTCGCCAAGCGTTCCTAACAACTTAGAGCGATAAATCAAAAGAAACGAGCGATGAACTCGACACGGAAAACGTCGCGGAACCAATAAGATCTTATCTATCTCAGATACATACGTCTTGTCAAACTTACCCTTTCGCGAAAGTTACGCTGTAATAGGCTCTCCTTTAAGTGAACTTTCCTTCTGTGTCAAACACACAAGATGGACTTCTGCCCTCGTTTCACCAATTGCACGATTAGAGAGACAAATCAGTCACCGATCAATTAGTCATAAAACGTTCGTTCTACGTATTTCAGACACTTCTTATGCGACCTGTATCAGCTGGAGCTTCTTTCCCGGTCCCTCCTGAAGAGGATGCACTTCGCTACAGCCCTACGTGGGAATCCGATGATGAATACACCGACTTTGCCTACTCAGATCTTTACATGAATGGGCATTTCACAGGTGAAACTTCCGTTTACTGTTGATTTTTCAGCAAAAAAAATTAACGAATACAGACTACAATAATGGAGTGCTCAGAAGCGAAACAAACAATGAACATGAAGAGATGCCGGCGATGGTTTGTGACATTGAAACGGGAAAGTAAGTCAAATGAAAGGTTTAAACTAAATCAAGTTACCAGTTCTTCAATTAGATTGCGCCCGCATTGCTTCTACTCCAAACAAACTGATTTTTAGTAAAAACAAATCGTATTTTTCTATTGACAGTGAACAGGCGAGCGCTGAATATTATGCTAGTTCTGGATGCAAATGTCGAAAAAAACTTTCCAGGGCTTCGTTATTGCAAGAGACATCGATAAGAAATTCTTTTCGAACGCTAGGATAGATTCGCACGTAGTGGTGTTAGAGAAAAAAGTGTTTTCATTGAACACAAAGCTTAAAAACAAAAATTAATAACATGCGATTAGGAATGCCTGGATTTTTTTTCTGATATAAATTACAAATGTATAACTTTTAGCTGCCAACAGAGATATATTGCGAACTTTTCTCGGTTTTCCTAGTATGACAGATTGCATGACTAATCCCAGTAGAACTCTCTACTTCACGTCAATTGTGCATTTGCATTCGAATTCACTTTCACGTTCCCGCCTATCGCTTGTTTTAAGCACTTTCACCTTGTACTATCCAGAGAGACGACGATATAGCGTATAATTCACAAAAAAGGAAGGGCTGTCAAGATTTAAAATTTGTGGAAGATTTGACAGACAAAATATTGCACAAGACAAAAATTCCAAAAAACACACCACTTTTCGCCTTTTGCCCATGAAACTGAAACTCTGAATAAAAAAAATTCAAACCATAATTAAAGGCGCAAATGTAAATACCCTCATACTAGAGTACCGCAACTTTTCTTGCGCAAAGTAAGAAATGTCAGAAACTATGACACCCCGCGATCACTGAACAGTGTTGTAGGATTATCGAAGACCCGGAAAATGACCAGGATGGGACACTTAATCCAGGAACCCCCAAAGGAGAATATACAGTATCAGAATACAATGAAGTGTTAGTCAATCTCATGAATCAACTGTTTCACGATATTTTGACAGATGATAATCGGGTAACGCCAACTTTCTCTCATCAAGCGTAGTAATTCTGCAGTGAATTTCAGAAAATTCTCTACTATAAATTGCCCGAGAACAAACACTACAAGGCATACATCGAGCAGGTAAAAAATCTGCGCGCTGTCAAAGTTTCCGAGGCTCCGCCACAAGAAAGGCTAGCATTCTTTATGAATGTTTTCAACATGTTGTCGGTTCATACAACACAGATCAACGGAGCCCCTCGAAATATTTGGGAACGAAGAAAGGTGATGAAAAATAGATGAGAGGTTCACAAATTGAAAGTTAAACAGCAATGCAGGATTTTAGCTGATGAACTGCAGCTATTACCAAATAGAAAACCACAAATATGCTCCACATTCTATCTTGAACGGTATTCTTCGATCTAATCGCAAAGGATTGGCAGCTCTTTGGAAGCCATTTGGAAAGAAAGACCAGAGATTACCAGTGAGTCAACAAGCAAATCTTCTTATAAACGATTAAATGGTGAGCAGAAAACAAAAAAAAACAACACCAAAACTTCATTTCTCAAAAGGATTTTGAAGTTTTGAACGGAACTTAGATAGACCAAAACCAGACTAATTTTTGACTCTGACTGTATTTTGGATGCATTGTAGAAAAGGAAGAAAAAGAAAGAAAAAAACAGAGAGCAGCAAGTATGAGGTTATCACTTGAAGACAGGAAATAAAGAATTAGTATAGAGAGTGGTGGATCCGGGAGGGGGGGGGGGCAGCAGACAAGGGGCGTGGCGGGGCAAGATCAAAGAGTTACTTACATGACTTATAAGAACATGTGCATTGTTTATAATTGTAATAAGGATGATTTGCAAAATTTGAAACTCAAATCAGGCTTGTGAAGTTTTTATTTTTGGTTTGGGCTTAGCCCGCAGGAAATTTGGCAAGCAAGCTAATTAATTTTTGCAGGATTGGATGTCTTTATCACTATCGTATTTCAGCTAATACTCCCACAATGCGAACCTCTTATACACTTCGCACTTAACACTGGTACTCGATCTACCCCACCTATCAGAGCCTACACTTGCAATGTACTTCCTTGGATCTTGACTACATAATAAAAACTTACAAGAAAGTTTCCAGTTTGTTTATGATGAGCTTCGTGACAATGCTTGTAAAGCGCTCAAATCAAATCACTTCCTACGATTTGATACGAAAAATAGAGTCATTTACCTAGGGAAAATATTCAAATGGTATGAAATCGATATGGGTCGCAGCACAGAAATGGTAAGGTAGAGCCTCGATTCGTTTGGCAGTCACATAAGGACTATTTTAGGTGCTTGAATATATCTTGGACTTGATGAGCAGGACGAATTCAAAGAAAAAACGGATGCTTGAGGATTGGTTGTGCGATGGCAATGTAAAAGTAGATTACATGACTCATGACTGGATGTTTAACGGACAAATGAGTGAGACAGAGGAGAAATGAAGATGAACATGTGATGTACCACTCCAAGCAGCACTACTTCGCAAAGCCTATGTCAAATCCATAAGATCAAAAGTTAGTTACGGGATGTAAAAAAAACAATGTCTATTTGAACAGCACTGAAAAGACAACTTTGAATCAGTTGCCACTTTTTGAACAGAAACTTTCGAGATTGTAAGACTTGAGGTTGATATTCAAGTATTGATTTACTGCATATTTTTCAAAAACATCCCCTCTTAAAGGCCCCTATGCACGTACATCCCCGCGGGGAGGGAAGATCTGAGAGGGGAAGCGCCATATGTCGCTAGTCCACATATCTTTCTTCTTCTTTCTCTATCTTGCTTATGAAGTTTCTCATACACTGATGCCTGCGTATAACGGATGCCAGGTTACTGCCATACAGGGTTCAATATTTCGTCTGATCCCCTGGGGATTCCCAGGGGATCACCTCACATTTTCAAAGTCATTTATCTTCCTGAAAACTCAATGAAAATGCTCTAAAATTGTACGAGGGATATACTACAGCGTTGCTAAACATGTTTATGGTAGAAATGAGTGATATCTCAAGATGTCACAATCTTCGATGAACCGCTGCTCGCGAGCCAGTGATCACCGAAAAAACCAAAATTTTCGAATTATTTCTTCTGCCGAAAACATGCTCAGAAGTATCGTGGTATATCTTCAGTACATTTTCGCACCGTATTTTTGAGTTTTCAGGAAGATAAATGACTTTGAAAATGTGAGGTGATCCCCCGGGGATCCCCAGGGGATCAGACGAAATATTGAATCCTGTATGGCAGTAACCTGGCATCCGTTATACGCAGGCATCAGTGTATGAGAGACTTCATAAACAAGATAGAGAAAGAAGGAGAAAGATACGTAGACTAGCGAGATATGACGCTTACCTTCTCAGATCCCTTTCCCTCCCTGCGGGGATGTACGTGCATACGGGCCTTAAAGATTCAATAACGCACATATTTTCCAGGCATATTTATTTACAGATAACGCATTCGGGACACTTATCTGATGACGCTAGCGTTATCTGTTGTTCGATGAATACTAGGAAAAACAAAACTGTTGTGATGAGATCTTCTACAGTAAAATGGCGATTATTGCAAGCAATCAAGATGATGATTTGAGATCTGTGACAAACAGAAACGTTTCAGACTGATATATAGACACGGACGACAAAACTTCATGGCGTAGGAGGCAAAAACGTAAGCCGAAAAGCATTCTGCACTCTTTCGCCTGTAAGAAGCGATTGGAGCACTGAACTGAATTGTATAGGAGCAATGATTCATTGTGATCGATAGCGTAGAAGGAATGGACTGCCTGTCGGACATGATTGAAACATTCAGTCGATAGTTCAGTAAATTTTAAAGTAATTTTGAAAAGTTGCTATGTTCATCGTAAAAACATTGTTCAACGTTCCTACGATCTTTTCCACAATACACAAGCAGAATACGCGGAGAGAAACCGATCTAACAAAAGTCAAGGTAAAAAACCACAAGAAATTCTGAAAAAAAAAAACTAGAAATTCTGAAAGCAAAACCACCATAAATTCTGAGAGAGGACTTGAACATGAGCAAAAAAAAAACTGACCTGTAGCTTTCGCTTCGTTGCCTTGCATCAAGATCTCGTTTCAAAAATGAAGCCGTCGTTTTCTTGGCACGTTTTCGTTCACTTTCCGAAAAAGCTTTCTGCATCAGAGCGGCATCTTCGCAAAAGCCTTCTTCTTCGATCAATCTGAGACCACATGGTTTCAGAAAAAAATTAAGCTACGACAAGCTGCAGACTCACTGTTTCATAGCGATATTGGCAAGTTGTGATGCCAACTTGAAAGTTTCATCAAAATTGAGGAACATGGAAAACTCGTAACTTTCTTGTCGCGTTACCACTCGAAGACTTTGTGGCCATAAAATAGTAGAAACCTTGTCAAGTTTCTAGAACTTTCAAAGTGAATTTCAATAGATCCGATGGCAAGCATCAAAGCTCACCGTGATATCTGTCCATTTCAACTTGATTTTAACTTCATTTCCTATGACGAAAGAATAAAAGCAAAGAAAATTCACGGATAAGAATATTTGTCCCTGATTGGGAAAACGATTTTTCCAATAACAGCAGCTATAATCTGTAAAAAGTGTGCAAAGAGGTACTAGTATTGCGTATATTTCAAACAAGTTTCGGCTCACAGTTTACTAATTTTTCATCTGAAGGCAAAGCGAAGATAGTGATAAACTTATGGAAGACAGATCGAGTAGCCAACGAGTCAAGTTCTTCTAAAAACTGTTCATCACAGCGACATAAACAAACTATTTGAAAAAAAGAAAAAACGAGGAACTTAAAATAATTGACGAAACAAAATCGAGAAGGTCAAGTTAGACTAACCTGTAGCAGCGACAGATTCGGCGTCGATGTGGACCAGACTTTCCACCTTGCACAGTACGAAGGTCCTGACATCCCGTTCCGTGGTAAATGAAGCTTAAATGATAAATCGATCACTTATGCTCGGAAGATTTGTTATTTACACTACCAGTAATCAAAGCAATGTGCTTCTTACCTACTGTTGGCATAATATTTCTCTCTATCCAAGCCCAGTGTTCCTGGATTTCATTCTTGCGCACGGCATGAGCAATAACTACATTCAGCTTTTTAAATATGACTTCGCTAAAAACCAAAGCTTCAAATCCTACCAATGGCAATTTGAACATCATCGTCGTCGTATTTATAAATGATACGATATGGTGCAGGTCGAGTATCAAACACTGAATCGATTGTTGCTACAAGAACAGATGAAAACCCTTTTGTTCCATGGCCTTTTCTTCTTTGAATTGCGAAATACTGGTTCTCTTGTTCAGTGCTCCTAAAATGTAAATTCATCAATACATGCGCCTGCAATGAGTCTGCTGTACCTACCAAAATGGTTGACCAAGAATCAGATATTCAGGTCTTATCCAAACCATACCAGGTCTAACCACTCTGAAAAAAGATGTTCACGTGTACTGCGAAGCACAAAACAGGGAATTCTTTGATTAAAATCTGGAAATACGTAAGGGAGGCAGAATCAAAACATAAAAAGTCAGTAAAAGTGGTGAAACAACAATTTCGAGATCAATGAAGACTATCTGTATGCGCGCTTTAAGAACTTTATAAAGTCGACAAGCTCTTTTAGGTTTAAATGGAAACGATCCGTCGAATAAGAAAACTGAGACTGATGGGAGAAAGCACGGCGTGCGACACATTCACGGCACGTGGTATCGAGAAATGCAAAGCACGGAGTACAAATGAAGTCCATCAATATTCAGAGGCTTGAAAAGTGCAGAACTTCAATAAATATAGAACTACACTACGCACTAAAACTGAACTTATTCTCATAATTCTAACAATTCACAACAGATTCCAGGTTTTTAACAACATATGACGCATTCTCGATTTATGGGCACTGTACCAATGCGCATGTGTGAGTGCAGAATGCGCGTACTTTACGCCTAAATGATCGATTGCATTCGCATGCGCCATAAGGGCTGGGCATACTTCATGCGATTTCAGTCGCGACGCGATTTGGCAATTCGTCATAATTCTTCGGATCCAACATTAGTCTGCACATGCATAGTGTGTATAACTTACGTAAACTGATGAAATGCCCTATCTTCTGTACATTTATAATGTGCTTACAATGAGTTATGGACACCTGGAATAGCCAAATCGCGTCGCGATTGAAACCGCTTGAAGTATGCCCGGCCCTATAGGCGCCCGCCATACTTGATCCTCTTGATTCACTTGATCCGCTTGATCCGCTTGATCCGCTTCGTGCAAAACACGTCGGCAATTTGTCATTTGGCGTCGCGCACAGCGAATTTGCGTAACCACACATTTGGCGTCGCGTACAGCGAATTTGTGTAACCATACAAAATTCCTGGTGCTTTTCCGTTATCCGGACCCATTTCTTCAAAGGGCTCTAATAAAATACGTTCTTTAGTCTAAGAACAATTTTTCATAGATTCTACAAAGACTGCCTCCCCGCCACCTGTCAGGAAAAATTTGGCACGTTTTAGCCCATTTTGTCTTGTTTTTTTTGTCGAATTCATTTCCGGTGAGGTAAAAAACAATTCTAAGCACCTAGAAGCCTTTCAGCTGTTTTCTATAAAAGCAAAACTGTCTAGAACCTTATCGCAGAACATCTTGATTGCTTTCAGCAAGAAATCAAATTTGTTTTTCTCTTCAAACTTTTGGCCATGCGAATTTAGCCAAGAGAGACTATAAATGATGGCTTACAGTATCGCGCTGCTGCTTGTTACGCCGCTTGGATGATAGAATCCTAGCGCACTCCATTCTGGGCAGGTCTAATCTGTTCAGTGATAACAGGAAGACGTTATTATTATAACAATGTTAATTCAGAAATTGTTTAATTAAAAATAGGGTCATTGTTGACTAGAATCCAGATTGAGCTTATGTCGCTAGTAGTGCAACACAAACCCTTGGTAAAACCTATTAAACATGTAGATGACATGTCAAATTTTTTTTGACACGTGGAAGAAGGTTGACATTCCTTCCTTTGAAACTGGGACCAAATATGGTGCAAGGTCAGAAGAAATATCCTTCTTTGAAAAAATGGGTCCGGATCACGGAAAAGTACCAAATTCCTTTTTACCTACGCGGCGCCAAATGACAAAACTGTGTGCGCGCGTTTTGCACGAAGCGGATCAAGCGGATCAAGTGGATCAAGAGGGTCAAGAATGTTACGTGCCATACTTGATCCACGTGATTCACTTCGCTAATAGTCAGTTCAGTAAACTGACCAATAGCGAAGTGGATAAATCGCACAAGTGGATCTGCGAATATCGGCTTTGCTACTGGTCAGTTTACTGGTTTGACCAGTAGCGAAGTGGATGAAGTGGATCAAACGGCACTTGCGCTAAAAATCGATAGAAGGTACCATGGGTTCATGAAACTTGCTCTTTCTACCTGGGCGAAGTTTGAGGGAGCAAATGCCAAAAAAACTAAATTTGTCATTTTGTAATACTGGCTCAAAAATTATAACATTTCAAAGAAGAGCGCAATTAAAACGAAATTGATAAGGTGGGTAGAAATCATAAAACCTATAGTACGTACTCAGAAACTTGGAGCGTGCGGCGAACGCGCGTTTATGGTCAATGCGGCAAAGCGCGTGCCTTATTTGTGGGCGTCCGGCAGTACGCCAAACGCATGCCATCCTAGACATCCGATGCGTGCGGCGCGCGTATTAATGGCCAAGCTGCGACCCGCGCGCTAGCTTTATGCTCGATCTCGCGACCCGCGCGCCTAATTTCGCAGCACGCCGCGCGCGTGCCTTTATATTCTATCCGTGCGGACCGCGCGCCTGCAATTATCACATGCTGTAAGCACAAGGGATACCCGCGTAGCAGTGGCGTACCCAGAATCTCGGCTCGGGGAGGGGGGGGGGGCGAAAAAATTTTTTTCTGATGAAGGGCTAACGCCACGCACCCAGAAAAAATTTTTGGTACGCTTTTCAAAATTTTCGCGGGCCCATAACCCCAAAATTTTAGAAAAAGGGGGGCGCCCCGAAAAAATTTTTTTATAAAGCTAAATTGAATTTTTAAAGAATTTCAAAAATTATTTTAATTACTTACAAGTGTAAATAAGTCTTTTGCCATTTTTTGACTCATGTAAGTAACTTTCAAATTCGCGACCCGTTCTCGCCCCCCCCCCGCCCCCTCCCCCCGCGGTACGCCACTGCCGCGCAGTGTACGACGCAGTGGTTAGGCTGCCCCATCATTCAAGAAGTTAGATATTACATCTTAGTGTATGAATAGTTGCGGAAGTAGAAGTTATTTTTTGCGTTCAAGCGTTAGCCCTCGCTAGCATTGCGAATGGATGCTGGATCTGGATTTTTGGGTCTAAAGACGAATTCATATTTTCTGGCGTATGAAGTGTGGAGTTCATTATCAAGACCTGCGTATACAGCGCAACGAAAAACTGAAAAAACAGCAGCCATCCACGGGCCACCACCAGCGGCGCGGCATCCAATGTCCCGCCATCCGCGCACTGGGTGTTGCGCCATCGTGCGACTGCGCGCGCGCTGCACGCTCCAACTGTCTGTTTACTGCTCCAATTTTCAAGGCAAGCTTCGCTTTCAATGACTGTGCATAGAAAAATCAAAACTGGAGTAATTTTCTTGTACAACTTATATATCAGGTCGGTTCAAAAGTTCTTTCAGTTTCTCGACCTGCCATAAAATCAGGTGGAATAAAGGCAGGCAAATGCGCTAAGGACTACCACAAGCAGTTTTTCTTCCTCTTTCCATCATTCATGTTTTGAGACCGTTTACTTCAGTGGCTAAGATAATTGCCAAGTTTTTGAACCCATGATTACCCATGCCCAAACTTGGCAATTTTTCAAAATGATAGCTGTTAGATAGCGTGAACAAAGTGCAATGCGGTGAAATTTTTCGGCACCTAAAGCTGACTTTCCAATGTTGTGATTGTAAATGATCAGTCTCCTCATAGTGATCTGCCTCGCGTAGTCGATCGCAACCTCAGAGTGCGCGGGAAATGAGTGCTATAAAAGGCACTCAGTCATAGCTTCAGTCAGTTCTATTGTTCAATTGTTCACTCATTCGCCTCTCATAATCTACTGTTTTCTCTATTATTTCTCTAATAAATATTCCTATCTACTCCTGTCCGACAAGTCGAAGTACGAAGAGTCGAAGAGTGCCCGGAGTAGGAGGACACAGCAGATGCTATCAAATTCCACTTTTGGTCATCTCAAGGTTCACAGAACATCAAATGGCGCACAACTAAGGTGTCATTCGATGCAGCTTTTATCCCCTTTCCTTTCGGCAAACGATCTTTTCCTTTATGAAGTTGGTGTGTAATCATAGTCGAACTTTGCAGGTTTCGAATTTCGACGATTTGTTAGTGTTTGGAGCCTTTATGTATTTTGCAACTTCGCAAATTGAAGGCTTTCGGAAAAGTTAACTCAAAAATACCAAGAAGCTAATTGAAGATGAGGGAAAATTGCATTGCATTGCACTTTGTTTACACTATCTAACTGTTTTCAAAGCTTTTCCAGAGGTTCAAAATGTTTTGGAAAATTGCCAAAGTTGGGCATGGTAAACCATGGGTTTCAACATTTGGCAATTATCTCAGCAACCAATAAAGCAAATGGTCTCAGAACATGAATGATGGAAAGAAGAAGAAAAACTGCGTCTGGTAGTCCTTAGAGCATTTGCCTGCCTTTATTCCACCTGATTTTATGGCAGGCTGAGAAAACGGAAAGAACTTTTGAACCGACCTAATATTTCTCCGCATGGTATATGTAAAAGATGGCTAATTAGGTGCTTTAGAAAAGCGCATAATTTTCTCTTTCTAAAACATGCAATTATGTGCGAGTCCTACGAAAAAATGGTTTTCTGAAAATGATGCAGACGAATTTTCGATTGAACTAATTTCCGAAGATCCTCGGAAATTTAATTCGTAAAGAATTGGGAGGGAGGGAGAAAAGGGTGGCCGCTATCAAGACCCGTTATTCTATTCGGGGTTATGGGCCTTCAAAAACTTTGGAAAGCATCCCAATAGAATTTCCACAGTGCGTAAATAACTACATGTTTCTTTAATCGTAAAAGTATCTGTCCTCTTTCCCCAACGGAGATCCTGGGACCGCAATGTTGTGAGGCTAGAACCTTTTCAATTTGGTTGAAAACGAAGTCTTTGAAGATAAAAATTTCCGAAGACCTTCGAAAATCTGGCTTGTTCTAGCAGCGGGATCCGACCCTGAGGATTGGCTGGGAAAGACTAGTATAATCGTTCTGTGATTGAGTGATTCAAAACCGCTTTGCATCAGTGGCGGTCCCAAAATTTCTGCTTGGGCGGGGGGCGGGGAAAAAGAATTTTTTCGAAATGAAGGTTGCACTTCGCAAATCTTTTCGGGATGCTTCCCAAAATTTTTGCGGACCCATAACCCCGAAATCTTGAAAAAAAAGAGAGTGTGGCGGCAGCCCACGCCTCCCAAAAATTTTTTTTCGCAAGGCTATTGTAATTTG